GCTCCTGAGTAGGCTGGTTATTCAGGCTGGTTATTATGGACCATCCGCATAGGATATAATGGAGAAGGGATTTAAAGTTTAAATGCTTGTTGAGTTGACTCCCCAAGTCGTGCCAACACAGGAGACCTGGGAGATGGTGGTAGCTCAGATGTGGGGTTGTTAGAGAGTAGCCAGGAGGGGGAGGGCAGCTTGGTAACAGTGGCCCCAGGCCTGCCAGGACAGGTAGGGCTGCAAGGGGAAGGATACAGAGAGAGGCAATAGGGAAAGGGGGATTTGACAGAGGTTGTGGGGGTCATGCCAGCTGACCAACACTTGCCTTTGGTAGAGGGAGGCCAGGAGGTGCGAGTAGTGAAAGAACAGGGTCTCCAGCACCCCAGGGAGGCTGGTAAGCAGACCCCTGGATGTTAGAGAGGGTGCCAAGGGGCACCTTTTGAATACTCAGTTGGGACTGCAGCACCCCGGGAAGGTGGGGGTTGACCCAGGGGAAGGGAGTGATCCACAGGGAAAAAGGGGTACGGAGGATTTGATGGAGGTTGCAGGGGTGCCCAGGGGCACCTTTTGGGTACTATACCGAGCACATACACCCCTAATCACCCCCTCCCATTGTGAGCAATGAGAAGGGAACTCTGTTATTGGCTGGCAGCTTCACCTGTCAAGCTTTCAGGGTCCCTATTCATGTCTCCAAGCCTGGAAAACGTCACCACTCCCACCGTTACCTAGCATTTTTGCACCAGACTTTCTCGGAGGTTTCCAAGCTGCACCAGAAGTTTGGAGTTTTTTCCAACAAACTTGTGATTCCCCGAGTCACGACTCATGAGCCTCAAGCCAGGAAAAATTTGGCCTGAACTTTGGCTTGTCAAGTGGTTTGTGCCCATCCCTACTCTGCACTCTGGATTTAAAAAAAAATAAATAAAAAATCTTCCTCTAATGGGGCAAAAATCACCCATGAAGTGAGAAGTGTCAGCAGCAGCCAACTGTTATGTTTCCATGTTGCAGGAGGAAATTTTCACTCCATAAATAGTCAACAGTTTCCCAGCTGTCTTCCACATCAGCACCCCTAAAGCAACCCCATGATTCATGTACTTTAGCTGATTCTGTCTCTTGTTTGCACTGGGCTGCTACCTGTAATACAGCAGCGCTTTCCATGTCAGTTTTGCATAGGTAGCAACCCCTTTCAATCAGATGCTGTGCATATGCAGAATCCTAGGAGAGTCCTTTTGTGCACCAGCCTGTTAATGCTAGCGCAGGGAAAGCATAGGCAAGCAGGTTGGTCAGGTTCCAGCTGCTGTTTATTTTGATTCAGAGAATCTAAGTTCTGTATGTACTGTAGAACCTCACTGAGATTCCTTGTCCAGGGTATCCTCATACACTTTTCCAGCTTCTTGGGTAAAGCCTGGCTTCCTTTTTCTGAAAGCTTCATTTGAGGACACAGGTACTCTTGCTGGTATCTTCTTATTTCTCTCCTAATCAATCCCTTCCCGGCCCATTCTGATGGGCACAGGGGAGAGAAGAGCTTTACCTTTACCGGGGGAAGACAAGCATGACTGGGGTAGCTCAGAGGCTGCATTATTGACTTGGATGAGAT